AGCATCACCACCAGCATCACCATCAACGCCATCGTCATCGGCATCGTCAGCGCTACCAGTGTCCTCATCCTCATCCTCATCCGCATCTTCCTCCTCATCCTCCCCCTCATCATCATCATAATCATCAGCATCGCCATCTTCATCGTCATTATCGCCATCTTCGTCGTCATTCTCATCATCCATCATTCATCTTTCATCCCTCCCCTCCCTCCCTCCTGTCACGCTGCTGGGGTCGGGCGTCCCTGAGTCTGGCTGCGCCCCTCTGCCTGGACCTCTTGGGCGAGTCGGACACATCGCGGCGCCCGGGGGTCGTCTCTGGGCCCTGGGCCGCCAGCAAGCGATTCGAGGCGCACAGCCAGAGTGAAGAGGTCGGTAGAGATCCAGGAGCGGGGGCGACGAATGCCAGGGTCTCTCCCCGCTCTCTCGCTCTCTCTCTCTCTCTCTCTCTCTCTCTCTCTCTCTCTCCCCAAGGGGGCGAGCCATCTCGGCCGGGGCCCAGTGGGCGGGCGCGCACCGCGGCCGCCGCCCCAGCTTGCACCGGCACACTTCGGGATGGTTCGTCTGCGCGGGCCAGACGATGGGATGAGCGTGGCCAGGACGGGGCTGGCAGTGCTCTGTGGCAAGGGCGCCGTCCTAGAGGTCCACTCCTTCTCGCTGGGCGACCTGCTGGTGAAGGAGTTCGTCAAGGCCTACACAGAGGGCTCGGGACACTTCATCGGGGACCAGCTTAAGGCCGAGGGCTCGGGATACTGTACGTGGACGGGGAGTTCACCGCCGATCCGCACGACGACCTAGAGGAGGTTGGAGGTCACGCTGGAGATGGTCGTGGTGTTCGCGACGTGGAGGCCGATGAGCAGGAGAGCGAGGGCGACCCGTTCGTGCTCCCTGCCGTCCCCACGTTCCCCGAGCTGGCGGAGCTGCCGACGGCGCCGCACGCCAAGGGCAGCGTCGAGGGGAAGAACATCGAGGAGACCGCTCTGGCACTGAAGGAGCAGCTCGTGTAGGGCAGCGCCGAGGAGCCGTGCGACGAGAAAAAGTCTAAGATGGCGGAGCTGCCGACGGCGCCCGCACGCCGAGGGCAGCGTCGAGGAGGCGTGCATCGAGGAGACCGCGGAGGTACTGAAGCTGCAGCTCGTGGGGGGCAGCGCCGAGGCCCCGGTGCGAAGAGACGAAGGTCGAGGCGCTGCGGGTCGTGGCGACGCGGAGCCGGGAGGCCACGGCGGAGGCCAGACAGGCGGCGCACGCCAAGGCGGCCGAGGCGGAAGCCAAGCACGGCGCGCCAGCGGGCGTCGAGGCGGCCGTGGTCGCGCTGGTGGCTGCGCGCCCCTGCCCCATGGAGGTGCAGGCGCAGCAGTGGTTTGAAAGGGCTTCGACCAGGCGTTGCGCGCCAACGGGCTCGCGAAGCACAAGAGGGATTCCTTATGTGAGGTGGTTCGTCGTGCTGGTGCCGACCGCCAGAGCTGAGTGGTGGCAGCTACGAGTAGTTGTTTGGGTCGGCTTGGAAAACTGGTGTTTTGCTGGCGGCTGCCTGGTGGCAGCGTTCGGTTGCCCGTTGATATCCGTCCCCGCGGGGGTGGTGGGGCCTTGGCCACGGGCTTCCCTCCTGGGAGAGCCGTTGCCTGGGTGCGCTTGTCTGGTGGGACCCTGGGATTCCTCGTCGCCGCTCTCGCTTACCTGGGGGTTGTGTGGTTTTCGCCGCCGAGGCGGCAGGGCGCTGTCGGCCCCATCCCCATTCCCAGTCGGGGCGGGCGCCGACTTCCGACATTCCTCGCACCCCTACGGCCCCACGCCTCCCACCATGCCCGTCGATCACGGCCCAGAGCCGTGGGTCGAGGGCGACGCTCTACATCGTCACGTTGTTCTTACTCGCCCTGGATCGACCGTCGGGCCGACCCCCACGACTATCACCACGAGGAGGAAGCTAGGAAGGTTGTCGCTCCCACCATCCTTCCCCCCTGCCTTTGCACGCAGCGCACAAGGTCTCCGTCATCACTGAGGACGAGAACGAGGATTTGAAATCCTGCGTCCCTCCGCACTGCCAACTGCCACCCACGGCTACTCAGGATGCCTGCGCAGATGGGTCAGGTGGCCAAGGCCGTGCCGCAGTAGCCCCTAGCCTGGCTAGGGCCCTCCCCCCCCGAAAAAAAAGCCTCTAGCCTGGCGAGACGGATGGCGATGAGGTCGGATTTTACAAATCCCTCGCGCGCCTACCCGCACACGCCCAGCCCGCGCGTGCGCTGCCGCCACGGCCGTCGCCCAGGTCACGGCCAACGGCTGGGATGCTAGTCCCTGGCCGATCGATGGCTAGTGCAGATTGGGCCTGCTCCCTCAACTGACTGCGCTCGCAGTTCCGGCCGTGAGCCGGCCTCCGCGGAGGGGGGGAGGGGGGGGGGGCAAACCCGCTGAGGGCGCTCAGTGGGGAGCGAGGGGAGGCGAGGAGGGGGAGGGGGAGGTGGTGGAATGGCTCCTTCCGCCCCACTCGCTGGTCGTGCCTCCGGGCACGGCTGGCCTGGTAGTGGCGGGATTTGAGGGAGACCGTGCCCTCTGGCACGGTCGTTGGCGCCTGGGCGTTGTCACACCTTCAGTGCGAGGGGAGGCCTTTTGTTCCGCTGGCGCCAGCGCTTCGATCTTTTGACTGTTCTATCGTTCCTCCCTTGGTGGGGCCAGCCTGCTCAGGGAGATGTCCCCAGACGTGGTATCCTCAACGGTCACGGTCCGCACCCCACGCGAACGCTCACCGCACGGCGCGCGGCGACGTGGCCGCCTGCCGCGTCCACGTGGTCAGTCGTGCGCGTCTTGCACACGCCAAGAGCGGCTCCAGCTCCTGTTTCAAAAGCCCGCTTTGGCCCAAGTGGGTAGTGACGGGCGGGGCGCTCGTAGCCCCACCGCCCACACGGGCACGCACCCGCGCGGACTAGCGTCTCTCTCTCTCTCTCTCTCTCTCTCCCCCCTTCTCTCCCTCTCTCTCTCTCTCTCTATCTATCTATCCGCCGGCCCCCTTGCGGGGCCACGAGGCTGCGAGGGTGAAGATTGCAGCTCCCTGTTCCAGATGCTGTGTCCAGTGTCCACTGTTACAGTCCTGCTTTCTGCTTCCTCACTGTCAATCGCCGCCGCCCGCGCGAGGGGCGGGAGCCCCAAACGGGATTTTGTACTACGCCCTGGGAGGGTTCCCGGAATTCCAAGGCGGCCGTGGGACACGTAAAAGTATTTGAGATTCGCGCCCCCGAGACCATACACTTTTTTGAAAATTGTACAAGATTTGCGTCCCCGAGGCCAGAAACCTTCGTACATCACGCCGTATTCGCGTCCTCGAGACCATAAACCTTCTTGCAGGTAACGCAACATTCGCGTCACCGAAGCCATACACCCTTATAAATGACGCCAGATTCGCATCCCCGAGGACATACACCCAAGTAAATTACATAACATTCGCGCTCCCGAGGCCATAAACCTTTACAAATTAAGCGGCACTCGCGTATCCAAAGCCACAACAGTTTGTAAATTACAGAATGATTGCGTCTCCGAGGCTGTACAACTTCGTAAGTTACATGAGATTCGCGTCCTCGAGACCGTAAACCTTTCCGTACGTGACACCATATTCGCGTCCCCGAAGCCATACACTTTTTGAAAATTATACCATATTCGCGTCCCCGGGGCCATACGCCCTCGCAAGATACACCGCAGTCTCGCCTTCGAGGCTACGATCTCTCGTGCATTACCGCAGATATCGCCTTCGAGGCCATGATCTGTAGTAAATCACAAGATATTCGCGCCGTCGAGGCCAAGACCGCCCCAAGACGGCCCAAGAAGCCTCCAGGAGAGTCCCAAGACGGCCCCAGAGGTCACCAGGACAGCTCAGGAGGCACCAGAGACGGCCCAAGAACTCCTGATGATGGCACCAAGAGAGGTCCAAAGTGGGACCACGAACCAAATATTTGAGTGTTCAGCCCCGCGAGGGCGAAAGAGGGCTCCTCCAAGTGGCTGCCAAGCCGCCCCAACAGGCTTCCAAGACGCATCCCAAGAGGGCAGCCAAAGCCACCCGGTGTTGCCCAACGTTAACCTCAAGCAGACCCGAATCGTTGCTCCAATACATGGCACGAAAGGGAACTCGAGAATAACTATACGGACTTCAACAATGCGTTCTGAACCTGAGTCTGCCGCTTACCAATCGCCCTCGCAGGAGGTTCCGACATCGTTTCGCAACAGCGGAAAGGGATTCCAGCATAGTTTTGACATTTCCCATTATGATAGTGAGGGGGGCGGCGGCAGGGGGCGAAGTCTTTACGGATATATATATATATATATATATATATATATATATATATATGTATGTGTATATATATACATGTATATATATATACATACATACATACATACAAACAAACAAACATACATACATACATACATACATACATACATACATACATGCATGCATGCATACATATACACACATATGTGTATATATACATATGTATACATACACGCCTACATATGTATGTATGTTTCTGTTTCTCTCTCTCTCTCTCTCACACCTCGACTGTCGCAGCCGAGGCTCCCTCTGCTCTGCCCCTACGGTGCCATTCTCGCAGGAGGGTTGGCTACTCAGTCCACCCTCCCGCCGACCTCATTCTGTGTGCGGTGCTGTCGATTCGACTGCACCGTGGTACGCTCGCTCGCTCTCTCTCTCTCTCTCTCTCTCTGTTTCTCCCTCTCTCTCCCTCTCTACTTTTTTTCTCTCTGTCGCTCTCTCTCTCTCTCTCTCTCTCTTTTTCTCTCTCTCTCTCTCTCTCTCTCTCTGTCTCTCTGACTCTTTCTCTCTGGGGCTCGGGAGCCCTGATTTGAACAGCCGGCATCTGGCCCCTTCTGTGGGCGGCTCTCGGCCCTCCCGGGTACGTTCGGCAGGCTTTCAAATTGCTCCCAAGCGGCTTGAGGTCGCCAAAATGTCGTTCCAAGACGCCCAAGATGGCTTCAAGACGGCCCCCGTGGCCATTTTGGTTCAAGTTCGAAACGTTGCCCCGGCGCTTCGAGCTTGGACATAGCCACGGGGTTGGCCCGAGCGTCCTGAGGTTAGGCCTCACGATTTTCTCTCGTTGTGCGTTTGGTTTGTGCATGCGTCGGTGTTCAGTCAGGGGGGGGGGGGGGGGCAAGCGCCAGCCGCGGAGTGGAACCCGAGCTCTGCGCCAGCCCAGTCGCAGCCTGTCAGGTGGCAGGGCGCGATGGCTTAGCCGATCGTCTTCACCTCGTACGCCGAATGCCTCAACGGGCTCACGGAGTCGCAGTGATCGTGATCGTAAGGAGCGGCCGCCGTCGCAACCGCCAGGACGGATGCATGGGATGACTTCAGACATCCGCTCTAGTGATTCCAGGATCGAGCTGCTGGAGAATACGATGACGATGCAGCGATGCAGATATGCAACCTTAGGGACACTGTAGAGTCTCACGGCGCGTACATCACCCAGACTGGAACCCGCAACCATGAGCTGGAGACGCTGCAGAACGGTTCGACGATGTCTGTTACTGTCGAGCAGGCCATCGGCGGGATGGTGCAGGTCAAGACGGAGCAGGTCCAAACGGAAATTGACAAGTTGCAGGAAGTGGCTTGGCCTGGCACAGTGAAGAATCGGGTTGATGGCATTGAGCAGAAGCTACAGCAAATGACTGCTTTACCACCTCGAGCTGGCGGTGGAGCTTCTCTGCCCGCGGCGCCATCTACGCGTGAGCAGGTGAGTACTTCTCGATCGATCCTGGTGGACCGCTGATGGCCCGCACACTACGCAGAGCTGCTGAGCTAGTACGTGAAACATGCCTGCCGCCGGGGGACGTTGGGGAGGTGGTGTTCAAAGCCTTTGACATGTCGCCGAAGGCGGTCTTCGAGTGTGCGTCAACAACGGTATGTACTGACTGTCTGACCAAGTTTCGGAGCCTTGAGGAGTTCAGGTTCGCCAGTCCAGTTGGCAACAAAACGTGTGCTACGCGCTACGGGTGAACAGGGACATCAGCCAACAGGGAAGGAAACTGTTCTACGTGACGGGGAGGGTTAGGACGATCATCGCTGACGTGCTAGCTGGTCGCTATGAGTGTGGCTCGAATGGATTCGGAGGTAACATGTTTGCACTTCGACGTGCCGAGAACCCCTGTCACGCCGGTGCAGCTGAAAATGGAGGGTGATCAGGTCGAGCACATGCTAGTTGAGTCGGCCATTGAGAACTTCGCAATTCAAAGCTCAGTGTCGGCAGTTCAGGTCGCCCTTGCAGTGCCCTTTTGGAGCTGATGTGCGCAGCGCGGATCGAGCTGGTGAGTGCGACTCGGCAGCCGCAGTCTGTGCAGCGAATGGGTGACTTCACGAAAATGAAGGCGACATGCGCAGGGTGCTTAGCCATGTCCATTGCCCTGCTGCCTCTTATGTTGCTAGCGTTGCGGGCTCCTCGGCGCGAGGTGCCGATCTTACGATGACGACACCCTCTGCTGCTGAGTTGTTGGCCCCTGTCCCCTCTCCTGGGGACTCCATATTTACGCAGTGATTTGACATATGTTAACACTGGACCTAGGCTGTTTTCTTTGGCGGACCCTCTTGGGGCCCTTGTGATTTTCCTTGCGGCTCGAGGCGCGGTCTGCATCGGTCTGCATCGGTCTACGCGTGGATTCCCAACGGTCTTTTTCGGCGCACTAGCGGGGGTAAGTCACTTTGTGTTTAACGGGCATATGCGATCGTGCACTTTGGGGAAACAAATCCAATACGGCCCAGGAGGCCCCCAAGTCGGCGCAATGGGCCTTCAAGAGGACCAGAGGGCCTCAAGAGGCACAAATGGCCCCATGCCCGTCAGAAAACGCAGATGGACTTTTCAGAGCATCCAAGACGGCCCGCGAGGCCTCCAAGATCGGCCCAAGACGGCCCAAGAGGCTCCCTACAGGGTTTCGAGACGGCCCAATGGGAGCCCCAAGAAAGCCCACGAAGGTCCCAGGACAACCCCGAGAGCGGCGCCCGAACGGAAATTTCAAGGCCTTGGCCCCCAGAAGGCCCCAGGAACCCCCCAGAAAACCCTCAAGAGGCACCGCGCAGGCCCCCAGAAGGCCCCAAGGGCCCCCCTTAAGAGCCCATTTCCCGGACGCCCTGAGGCACGCATGGCGGTCCCGAAGCTTCCAGAGAGGAGAGGCGATGGCCGGCCGTCCTGACGCGATCTTGGGCCGCCTTCGAGCTCAAGGTGCCCCCCAGTGGGGCCCAACAGGTCCCAGAAACGCCCGAAGAGAGCATCCCTGGGGTCCCCAAGACACCCTCCAGAAACACATTACAAGGAAACGGGGACCCAACCAATATGGCCGCCTGGGCGCCCCAGAGGCACCCAAGGCTCCCCAAAGAGGCACCCGAGAGGCTTCCCGAATTCCCCATCCCCCGAGCCCCCCAGAAGCCCCCCAAAAGGACATCCCAAGAGGCCCTCATGAGCCCCCTGCTGATCCCCCAAGAGGACATCCCAAGAGACCTTCACTCGGATTGTTTATACATGTATAAAGAAATGAATACGTCTACATATACATACACACTTGTATGCATGCATACGTGTATGCAGACATGCATGCATCGATACATATACACACGCATACATACAGACATGCATGCACACAAGCATACAGACATTCGTACAGGCATGCATACATGCAACCATGCATGTGTACATACACGTACATGCATACATGCATGCATACATGAATGCATGCGTATGTACATACGTATATTCGTACACACATAAATCCACACATGCATACACTCATACATCCGTTTTCACATGCAACCATGCATGCAGACACGCGTATACGCATTTTATTATACAAATACGCATATAAACATACACACATTCATGTATACCTACCGGCCTGCATGCATACATACATACACAGCATACACACATGCGTGCATGCACATATACATACATGCACACATGCATACATGCACACATGCATACATACATACATGCATACATACGTACGCACGTACCTGCAGACAGACAGGCATGCACATACACATACACGTACATAAATAGATATATGCATGCATGCATGCCTGCATACATACATGCACATGCCAGCATAGTTACAATCATACATACATATGCGCATGCATGCGTACATACAAACATGCATGCATATAATAATATATGTGTATATATTTATGTTATGTATGTAAGCACAGCTGTACATATATATACACATAGACGGAAGATCCTGGCCCCAGGGTTCTGGGCCATGCAGAGCCAGAGTCGGTCCCACCAGGTTTTTGTTCAGTCTTTGCAAGCCCCAGACGACGCGTCGTAGAAGCCCCCAAGCCCCTCTTACACAGTTTTCAGGTGACCATATCAAATGGCGGCAGGTCCCACGGGAATTCCCGAGTCAACCTGGGAGCACCTAGCGGCAATTTGCGATGATGGATCCATGCAGTTCTATATGTATCATTCGCCTATCTGCAGAGAGAGAAGTTGATATGAATGTGAGAGAGAGAGAGACCAGGAGGGCTGGGAGGGCTGGGACCTCTTGGAGAGCCGAGAGAGCAGAGAACTGGAGTTGAGAGGGGGACCACGATATCCATATAGCAGGACCCTGCTGTCATGGGGGTGGCGTCAGGCCCAATGAGTTCATGCTCTTATTGTCGTCGTTCGTTGGCTGACCTCGCTCTTGTGTGATCGTATGACCTTTGCACCCGGTCCACCATTCACGGGCTCGTTGGCGGACGGGGTGCAGCCGTGCGAGAGTGAGCGCGTGCTATCGGCGTTTGGCTAAAACAGATTCGGAAGGACGCTTACGAAAGCGGGACCCTCCACCTCCCCAATGACCCCGCCTCATTTGTTTTCCGCGCAAGGGGGGGGGGGCCCGTCGGAGTCGACCTCGCCGCGGGCGTTCAAGATTCAACGCCGACGGTGGCAGAGAACCGATCGATACAAAACAATCCGTCGGGAGGGAGGAAGGATGCAGAGGGACGTGGTGAGAAGATGAGCCTGAAGACGAGGGACGAGGGGCAAGGAGGTGAAGGGATGGGAGGAGGAGGAGGAGGAAAGATACGGTGCAGGTTGAGAGTATAAGAATACACGGGGAGAAGGAGAAGGAGGAAGGAGACGGAGGAGGACGAGGAGGAGGAGGAGGAGGGAGAGGGAGGAGGAAGAAGAGGACAGTCCAAGCGGGGGGCGGGCTGAGGGAGGAGGCAGAGGAGGAGGAGAAATATGAGAGAGGACACAGGCAAGCTAGGTGCGAGGAGCGGGCGGACAAGCAGGAAGAGGAGGAGGTGGAGGAGGAGGAGGAAGAGGAGATCGACCAGGCGAAAGGGGCGGAGGCATAACATATATATATATATATAGAGAGATGTATATGTGCGTATTTATTTATAGAATATCCGGGCAGCAAAGCAGCAGCAGCAGCAGCAGCAGCAGCAGGGAGGCGGAGCGGGAAAGGGCCGGAGGGAACCAGCAGGCGGCAGGAAGGAGGCGGTGGCGGAGGAAGCAGATATCGAGGAGGGCGGAAAAGAGGGGTATTGTTCGCACCGCAGCGGCCGTCGTCGTCTGCGTGGTCGTTGTCGTCGTGGCCATTGTCGTCGTCATCGTCGTGGCCGTCGTCGTCGTCGTCGTCGTCGTCGTCGTCGACGTCGTCGTCGTCGTCGTCGTGGTCGTGGTCGTTGTCGTCGTCGTCGTCGTGACCGTCGTCGTAACAGTCGTCGTCGTCGGGCGAGGAGCGCCCGCCCCGAACTTCCCTGGTGGGGCAGGGACTGGACCCCCGGCGCCACACGATGGCGCAGGTGTACGAGAAATTCGGCTTGCAGGAGACGCCAATCGTTCCCTCCCTCTCCCACCCTCGGCCGCTTCCCCCTGTCCTCCTCCCTCCTTCCCGCACATCCCCCCTCTCAGGTGCTGATGGGACTCGAGGGAGGAGGGGGGGCCACGAGGACAACACGGAGGAGGAGGAGGAAGGCGGAGGAGGAGGAGGGCGGAAACCACGGCAGACGACGGAAGAGGTGGAGGTGGAGGAGGAGGAAGGCTTGGAGAAGCATGAACAGAAAGAAGAGGAGGGAGGAGGAGAAATAATTAGGAAGGAGGAGGGAGGAAGAAGAGAAGGAAGGTGGATGAGAGGAGGAGGAGGGGAGGAGGAGAAGGAGGAGGCGAAGGAGGAGGTGTGAGAATGAGTATCACGGGGTAAATGGGGAACTCCCAACTAGCTCTCCCTTCCTAGCGTTGGGCTCCTGTGCCGTTTGGCTCAAGTGCAAAGCGTGTATGTTCATGCACGGGTGTGCCATTTCGCCAATTCCAATGCTCGCTTAAGCGCTCCTTCAACACAACCGCCCGATAAAGTTGCGTGCTAGCGGAGCGCAGCAAAGGAAGGACATTCCAGAAGTGTCATCAACAGCTATACAGGCAGTATGCATCGTCTTGTGGATATACTACGTGGGGTATGATCAAGACATCACAGGTGTGGACCCAAACGAGATCGCAGTGGCACAAGTTGGTGGTAACATGAACGTGGTGATGTGGAGTGTTACCAGCAGGCAAGCGCACATTGTAAACACGAACGGCCATCTATCAAGTCACGAATTTCGAAGCGAACAGCGCTGTTAAGTTAATATGACACGTATGATTGAAAAGCTCAATGACAACACGGTGCGCCCCGGTATCTGAATTTTCCAATAGTAAAAACAATTGCGCTACCGAAGAACCCCACATACTTAATTTAAATATTATGTTTTTGCTTACATTTATAATATGTGCGCAATTCTGCGCTCTGAGCCCTCGTCGCGAATGTTTCCCTATGCGTCATCCAACGCCATGTTGCTTGAACCTCCTCCCTCTTCCTAGCCTTCTATCCTCCATCGAGGACAGATTCGAGCCAGCCAGCGGCCGCGGTGAGGGACCACCCCCTGCGCACCCCGTCTGGCGTCGAGAAAGCGCCACGCTTGCTATGCCCTGGACGACCGTCGTGCATAGTGGCCGCGGTGAGGGACCACCCCCTGCGCACCCTTTATGGTGTCGAGAAAATGCCACGCCTGCTATGCCCTGGACGACCGTCGTGCATAGCGGCCGCGGTGAGGGACCACCCCGTGCGCACCCTTTATGGTGTCGAGAAAATGCCACGCCTGCTATGCCCTGGACGACCGTCGTGCATAGCGGCCGCGGTGAGGGACCACCCCGTGCACACCCCCTATGGTGTCGAGAAAGTGCCACGCCTGCCATGCCCTGGACGACCGTCGTGTATAGCGGCCGCGATGAGGGACCACCCCATGCGCACCCCCTATGGTGTCGAGAAAATGCCACGCCTGCGATGCATTGGACGACCGTCGTGTATAGCGGCCGCGCTGAGGGACCACCCCCTGCGCACCCCCTGTGGTGTCGAGAAAATGCCGCGCCTGCTCAAGCCTGGACGACCGTCGTGCATAGCGGCCGCGGTGAGGGACCACCCCATGCGCACCCCCTTATGGTGTCGAGAAAATGCCACGCCTGCTATGCCCTGCTGAGCTGAGCTGATCTGAACTGTGCTGAGCTATGCTGAGCAGTGCTGTGCTGTGCTGTGCTGTGCTGCGCTGTGTGAGAAGGGGGTGAGGGAGGTGAGGTGAGTGAGCGCCGGTGCGACGAGGCATGGAAGAAAACCATAACTCCACTAAGCATGTGTGGAAGAAAAGCACCAGCGAGTGCAAG